AGTAGTCAAAATCTATCCTCTCTGTAAACTTTCCAGTATGATTTTGTCCATATATTCTATGAGTAGCTGAATGAGATTAAAGTCGACATCTCTGAACACCCGATCGAGATGAAGAAAAAATATCCTAGTTTTTTCTAAACTGTTGTACTCAATCGGCACAGGGCTAGTTGTATTCAACAAACTTATTATATCAGCATCCGTCGATCTTGCATAAGATATCTCAAATTGTTTACTGTCTATATTAAATGGGTCGATGACCTTAAATCCGATAGGCAGACAAAGCGAATTCAAAATGTCTACTACGGAGCTAACCACACTATCTATTTTCTCTGTTCCATTTAAGAGATTATCGATGGAAGTAAGCAAGCTTTTTACGTGTAGGTCATTGGTCAAGTTTAACTTACTATTGAAATGTTCGACCATGTCGTACCATTGGTGCGTGTAATACATGTAGTGTTCCGAACCAGCTGAATATTGCCGTAGATATGTCATGTGTATTAACGTCAGCCGAAACATGATGACTTTTAGAATCGAATAGTTCAACGTATAGTATGATTTTATATTTTGAAGTTTGTCGGTGGCCCAATCTAGTGTATGCGCATCATCATAAGATTTTTCCAATCGTACTTTGGTAATGTCTGTCCAGTCCACTTGCTCCTTGAATACTTTCATTAAATCATAAATGTTCATGTATAGATTTTTTATATTTATTGTCTCTAGAAATTTCTCGTTAAACGATCTGCTACCAATTTTGTTGACTTGCAGCAGTTCTCTGACCAAATGATTGTGTTTGTGCACCATACCTTTCAACTGATATAGTGTCGGATGAGATTTTAAGAAGCTAATCATATATTTGAACCTATCATAATAATTACCTATATGACATCCTTTTAGGTCATCAATCAGTTTGTCGAGGACAAACTCGTGCGTGGCTACAAGTTTCTGATAGGTTTCCAGTATACCCTTTGGATTTTTATCAAAATCGTGTACTATAATTTCAAGTAAATTCAAGTACAAATGTAGTAGCCACAAGGATCCCATGTACCTTATTTCTAAACTGTACAAAGAAGCTATCTGGTATCTAGGGCGACTTTTGTAAAAACTTACGTAGCTGGTCGTCATTATTGTTTTGGGCGTATTATAAGCAGGGCTAATAATAAATCGGGTTAGCAGCATGTGTGTTTCTCCACTTGACAGGTACGCACATATCAAATCGTTATGGAGACGAGCATTTCCAATAATTTCATTTCTGGGGTATTTGTACCCGGTTTCCAATAAGTGTACTGACTGGCAAATGAACAGTACCAAACAAAATACAATGTTCTTGGATATTGCGGATTGCATTGTAGTTCTTTGTAAAATTATATTGCTCGGTCGAGAAAAGTTTGGTTTACTTGATGCTTTTTGAGGTAACGTTATATTGCCACTGAAGAAATATGAATGCAATCGTATAGTAATGCATTAGTTTTGCAAAAATTTAACGATTTGATTGTTAAACGTTCATGTTGTTGTGGCACTACTTTAATGAAACAATTGTTTATTTTATATTTGTTCAGACCACATTTTTTAATTTTAACAGTATACAAATTTTGCGTGTTGCAAAGCCTAAGTAAAATGTATTTAATTTTAGATTTTGTTGGTTTTCTTAAGTCTGGTAAAATTTTATATTATTGCGTTTTATAATTTATAAGATAAAATATTTTGGTATTTTTTTTTTTTAAATGTAATAAGTTTTTTCGTTGATCGTCTAAAAAAACCATTATTATAGTAAAACAATTATTATTTTGATTTTAACCGGCACTAAAAATGCCCCCCGCCCAAATATGCTCCGTCCCGAGTATTTAAGATTCGCCATTAAATAGTTTGTGTAATGTTCAATTATTATGATTTTTTATTTGTTTTTTTGATTTGGAAAATTTAATTTATAATGTATATTATTATTATTATATTGTGAATACACTGATAACTTAATTATGTAATATTTATACAATTTGATTGTGAACTTGAAACTTAATTGTTATTTATTGCCTAATGCTATTTGTCATCTTAATTTTTTTAAATCTTAATGTAAGTGCGTTATATATGGTCACACTGTAACTATCATTCAGTAACCTAAAAAGTAAAAATGATATATACTACGTGTTGTTCTCTCGTGTTTTTTGTAAACTGTAATGTTTGTTTAATAAATATAATATGTAAAAACTAACCTAACTAGTTTTCTTAAGCAATAATATAGTTCATTAACGACACAATTAATGAAATATAACATTAGCTACCTATACATATAGGTACCTAGTTCTTACATCACGAAAATTATTTATAGTAAAGAAATCAATACAGATTATTGTATTGTAATAGCTGTGACGATACAGGAGTATTAGTTCATTTTGGTATTTTTCTGTCTATTAGGTGTTAGCCCTTTCACCCTGTAATGTTGACGCTAGATGGCTCTGTTTGTGAACTACTATTAAGCCGGTACCTTCGATGGACGATATGAAATACTTACAATTGGCTAAGAATGTTTACTATCGATTAAAAACAACTAGGCATCGTCTAATGTAAGTCGTGTGCAAAAATTAAGTATATTAGATATTATGTGTGGGGACAAAGTGACTTTTGACAGTTTTACTCGATTACTTTGGGTAACTCCGGTTAACTCACTGACGATGACCATAAGTATGGGTCGTTTGCAAAGACTTAGTTAAGATCATACTTCACGGGATCATTTCTGTAGTATGCATCGTCCCCTCCAGGTGCTAATCTTAGTGTCTATAAGATTCTACGTGATCTTATTTATATTTGTATATCTACCATTTCTAGCCTTCAGCTCATTACTCAGTTGTTGAAAAAATGTACTTTTTGTGTTAAAAACACAGCAATAATTATTTTTCTAAGTTATATTTTTCAAAAAAGATATTTGTATTTGTTTAATATTACAATTCAGTTAGCTAATGGTTATTTTTAACTAATAAATCTTGAAAATAGTTTACATCAAAATAAGTAATAGAAAAAATATTAAAATTTTAATGTGATTATTTATTTTATTGAAATTCACGGTTATGACAAAATTTACAAATGGGTTATTATAATAACAATATTGTTTTAATTATTATGAATTTGTATTATTATGGTAATTATTAGACTACATTTCTGTAGTATGCATCGTCCCCTCCAGGTGCAAATCTGGAGTCGTCGTCAGCCACGATGATGAGACTAGTTCTTTCGCCAGAGCGTGAGACTGCTAGTGGTCTACCATTTATTTGTATATGACCATCTAGCGACGATGATCGCAACCAGTTCGCTGGAAGGTGCCTGAACAGTCTGAGTGGTTCCTTATATAACTAGGACAGATGACTTCTAGCATATTAATAGGTATATTAATTAGCGCAGCAACAAGGCCAACTAAGATAAAATTTGTTTTATTCGAAGACAAAGTCAACCTGTAATAAAATGTTCCATATATATTTTGCATATTAGGTCTTTATTGCTTATTGAGGCATTTTTAAAGGCTGTCACAATAGTAGCTATTGCCATAGTGATAGTAAAACTCTCAACGTGTAAACAGCTGTGGTAGTCCCTATCGCACTATTGTGACAGTTCTGTCACACTATCAAGGGCGAAAAACGGATAAAAGATAATCATTTTATACTTATTGGTCAAAATGTTGACGGGAAGCAAGTAGCAACTAACACTTTTTTACCGTCTGAAAATTAGACTGAAGGGGTTATTAGGTACATATACAATTTTCTAATCATATATTTGTAGTCAAACTTTTTTTTTTTTATCAAGGAAACCCTCCTTCCTCGAAAAAAAAAAGGAAAAATTACACTTTGGCCGTAGTAAATATCTAGGTTATATATTGTGTGAGTGAATCAACAGACAACAGATAAGTGCTTAAAATAATTTTTGTAAGTACTCTTAATTACTTTGTATGGGTAACTATTGCAATAAATCATTATAGACAGACGATCAGGGGGTTAATCATAATATATCCACAATAATACCTAAAACACTGTGTATTTTATTAATATCCCACTTTTTCTAGATATTCTGTCCTCTAAGTCGCAAGGATTTATTTTCCTTTTTTGTTCGTGAGAGTTATTATTTATTACTTACTAATTACTATATTAATACAAACTATGTTTTCAAGCAAATTATTATTTTTTATATTTTTTGTTTTATGCGACTGCCGGTAGATGCCGCTGCCGTTTGATTTTTTTTTGAGATTGTGTATTTTTCGCACGTTTTTCTAAAATTTTGATCAAAGATATTTACCAAATCATTTTGAAACGCGTTAGAATATACAGTACATAGTATACAAGAAATTAGAGTAACTTTTTGCACATGTTCGTGCAAATTTTGAGTTCTTTGACGGTTTTTTCGATTTTGATTTCTGCGTTTCTTTGGTGCGTTAGTTTTTTGTTAAATAGAACATTGTTGATCGTCAAAGTTATCGCTTCTCGGCTATTTTTAGCTAAGATCAAAAGTGTAGTATCTGTTCTTATCAGCTTAACATCTGGTACACCTCACATTGTGGGGTTCATATGTTAAACTAATTTTTAAAATTGGTGGAGATTTGGGGCTTGCTCCTACTCCACCGCGGGTTGACCCGGTGTTGCAGTACCGTCGGGACCGGCCCATATTAAACGTCTAGAGATCTTTTAAAACACACACTGTTATACAAAACATAATAAAATCAATCTGTAGGCAATTATTATTATTAAATACTATTTGAAGGCGAATGACGGCCATCTAACGCCATTTCCATTTAAAGGCCACCCTAATGTTGATGGTTTTATCTTGTTAAGAACTGTATGTGTGCCGTGTTATATGTCATATTTGCTTTAATATATTCAATCTATATTTTGTATTTTTGCGATCAGTTAGTAATATTTATATTAATAGTTTTCGGTCGTCTACATAATAATATTTTAATTTTGATATGACTCATGATAACCAAAATTTAATATTTTTTCATCAGTACAGTGTTTCAAAATCAGCGGGCACCGTGGGCAGATCTAGGATACTAGAAAATGAAGAAAATGTATCAACATTTTATTACTGCTAATTGTTATGTAATCATTAATATTATAACAAATATTTGTATAGTCGTAGTTTTTTGTTTTTTAAATTTACTTGAGAAAAAATTCACTAACTTAAAATGTCAATTGTTATTCTTGAAATTATTGTAAAACATTGAATCAAATTATTGTGCTTGTTTTATAAATACATTTGTTTTGGTCGTATAACGTTTTTAATTTTTATATTATATATTGCCAAGTAAATATGTAAATTGTGAAACTGTCTTTTCGGTTGAATATTATGTCACAGAGCTAAATATTCTTATTTTATGAATGGGGTTGTTTCATACAATATTATATAATAATGATTTTTACTGTAATTTTTAAAGAAATACTATATTATTTATTATTTATTCTTATACATCGAAGTACGAATAAAAGTTAAATATTATCAGTAAAATAGCCTTCCCGATGTGTCAAAATAATAGATTATAGTATAACCTCCTCTCTTAAAAGTTTTATGAACAAAATGTTTTTAGTAACTCCCATGTTTTTTTTCTACAGATAAACATATTTATAGTTTTTTTTACGAAAAATGCATGTTATTAATTGTTATTTCTACTAAAGCTTAATATTAAATGAAATTCAAATTTTTATCAAGTTACATTTTGTTTTTAAATTTTAACCTGTGGATGTTACGCTTGTTGGATAACTGATAAGAGCCTTATTAGTGATAACGAATAGACCAGTAAGGACCATGCAAGATCTATGGTTAGTTGAACCGTATTCTAACCTCAAAATCAAAATTCCAAATATCTTGTTAACATAGTAATCGCATTTATCGCTCTGTATTTACCTTAACACTTAGAATAGTACATTAATTATTATGATAATCCGTTAATTATTAAATAACTTGTAATTCACCGTTTGTATTTTAGTTGTGAATTTTCAAAATTGTTATTCTTGTTTGATACATTTACTTCGGTCGTTATTGTTGCTGTTATTATTGTTACAATATATTGAAGTTTTCACCGATCAAACATTTGTTTTCCAGTATCTTTTTAGAAATCGGTGTAAAATGATTTTCTAACACTTACCTACCTTTACATGATTTTTCATTATTTATAGTTTTATTTTCATCGACAATTTCTTTAATCTACCTGCAAAATATCCAGAACGAGCCAAGTCACAAATGTAAAAGTAAGAGATTAAAATCAGATTCACTATTTTCTTAAAAAATCAAGTCTGTTAGAAGTATAAAATATAAATATATGGTGTCCGGTAAAGTAAATTTATACCACAATTTTACATTATGTTTCACAAATCTGTTTTCCGCCTCCAAAATTAATCTAAATAAGAATAAAATGAAAAAAAAAATTACATGTTGCTTATAAATATGTTTTTAATTAAAATTCATGAATATGCACCGTTTGCTTTCAGAAAAAAAACAAAATGTCTTCGTACCACTCTCATAAAAGTGGTATGCAAAACGGTGTTGGTTCGCCGTCGATATTAAAAAAACGAGGAGTACTCTCTCAAAATAATGTGCCTAAACGTTCAGTCCATTTCAGTCTTTTCAACAACTTAAAATCAATGCTTGTTCAATTTGATCAAAACAACGTCAAGGACAAAATACAGTACAACAATCTTATTTGTGATATAAGAGATACCGGCGTAGAGATCAAGGTAATATTTAAAAAAATTTTAATTACTGTTTTTAATGACTGAATTCACCTCTTCATAGTCTTGTGTATATTTAAACATTTTTTTAAAAAATTCAAATAAAACTTATGCTATCACAGATTATAGTAATTTTATTTCTAAACTTTGGATAGTATCACTTTACCTTACAAACAATACCCAAAATATTTAGAAACAAATCGACTCATGCGAGACTTACACTTACGTTGCACGCAATCGTAACATAAAAATACATATTTACATTTGTATTTGGTTCATCTGTTTGATGAATCTATTGCAGATTAAGCTAATCACCGAGACTATCCCAAAAACGTAGTAGTTGTTGTCCAATGTCACTGTTTGAAATCGATGTAAGCTAAACAATAGTTATAAATGATCAGCGGTTTGCCAGCGAGAACACTAGGAAAAATAATTATATAAATTTGTGTTGAGTTCTATTAGCAGGTGAGAATATGTATTACACGGTGTTAATTATTTTCAGAAATATGGTTTGGCAAAAAAAAAAAAAAATTATATATTGTTATCACTAATATGAAAATAAAGAAAAAATAAAACCTTTACATAAAGTATAATTTCATACTGGATTTTGTGTTTTATATTCATTGAATATATCTAAAACCATTTCATTGAAAAAACAAATTTTGTTTCCATTTTGATTTTTGTTTTGCCACATTAGTAGTGGAGTTCATTTAATGGACAGTCGTAGAATAGACCGTTTCGTCAAAACTTAACATTTATAAAAATATATAATTGAAAAAAATTCTAATGAAAAAACCTGTGCTTTTAATTATTTTTAGGATTTCGAATTGGTCAAAATACTGAAAGACGCCAGGAATTGTGTCAACATATTGAACGAAAATCTAACGCTATTCGTCAAAGTCATATTGGTAAAGTTTTTGTAACAATCTATGCAATATTATGCATTGAAGTGAAAATAAATTAACTGAAACAATTTCAACATCATCAGGTATTGAAATGGATGAACAGAAGCGATGAAGTCATAAACGAATACCGTGGATTTTTGTTGGAAGTTTGTTGTGCTCACAACTACCACACAAAGTTTGCTGTAGAACAGCTTGTATCGTGTTTTTCCGAAGGTACGTGAAATCGTTGGTTTGTTAAACAATTTTTTTATAAACTATTTCTTTTTTCTTTCACAGTTAACACTCAAGAAGTTAATCGTGTTGATGGAATGCCAAGTGAATACGAAGAAAAATGTTACCGAAATGTACACGACACCCTTAGTGAACTACTCAGAATCATTCCGTTGTAAGATTTAATTTATTGAATTTTTTTTTAGACATTTAAAAAAGTCTGTCTTGTTTGATTATTGGAGATATTTATTCCAGAGCAAAAGACATCCTACTGGCGGCGTTGCAGAAGAAATTTCCGTACAAGAGAAATAACACCGAAGCTTGTTTGCATTATATTCACAATTTGTTTACGATATTAGATTACGAACCGTCGCTGCGCAAAAACATTCTCAGTCTCGTCATCAATAGGTGAATAATTTACTGTGGCTGTTTGGTTCAAAATATAATTCTAACCCATGTAAAACGTTTTGTAGACTAGTAGAAATTGATGCTCACGTACCCAGAGAAGAGCTCGATCGATTAAGAAATCGTACAAGCCCCGAACCTGAAGATATTTTTGCGATGGATATTGACGGAGACGATGTTGAGACAAATCCGGATAGGCTAGAATCAGAATACTTTTCACGGTCTTTGGACATTTGCATGCTAAGGATTTTTAAATTTCTTAAATCATCTTGTCACGACAAGTCCGGAGTTTTAATGTAATTTCAAATTAAACTACTAATTCTATGGTTCCAAGTGAATAAATTAACGTTATAAGGTTTTTTTTTTCAGATGGGATAGCGCTAGATTGTTGTTTCAAGATTTGTTAGCAGTTTTCGAAAGTGAAATATTACCTACTTACGCTAGTAGTCATATTCAATACGTAATTTATTACTTTGTCAGCTTTAAACCGGCGTTGGCCGAGAAGTTCAGTATTTATTTGTGGAAGAAATGTTGTGACGTGACCGCGCCTTCGACTTTACGTCAAGCCGCCGCCGGTTACCTGGCCAGTTTCTTGAGTCGAGCTCCATTTGTTTCCATCAAGTGAGTGGAAAATCGTATGTACTTACAAAACCAACGGTAACATTCTAACGTGTGTTTTCCTTAAAATTATTTAGCGTTTTAAAAACGATTTTAGCCGAGTTGACGACGTGGTGTGACGACTATATCGACAGAGTAGATAAGTCTATAAAAGTAGTCAATGAAGAACTATTGCGGTGGCACGCCGTGTTTTATTCAATTTGCCAGGCGTTGTTCTACGTAATAGCTTTTCGACACGAAGACCTAATGGGCAGCAAAAGAAGTACGTGGTTGTTGGATTAATATTTATAGTTCAAAAAATTTATATAAATACAACGAATGAATTATTGAAGAGTGACGATGTGTAATATTTTTGTATTTGCAGATCTTAAATTTATGGAAAATTTAAACCTTTCAAAAATAGTAACGTCTCGGCTGAGTCCATTGAGGATATGCTGTTCGAAAGTCGCAAGTCGATTTGCACACATTACTAAAACCTATCAACTCACATACTGTTATACCGTAATGGACGGTCACGTGGACATAACCGATCGGTCCATCAAAGAGGAATGGCTCTATTCGTTCTTTCCGTTCGAACCCTATGTTCTTCCGATGTATGTTTTTTTTTCTTCTACGGTTCACTGTAAAATAAAAAATATATTTTTATTTAATATGTATATAATTTTTTTTTTTTTTTTAGATCAAAGTCTACAGTAGTTCCTAATTTATACAGAGAGATCGGCGTGGATATTAATCACGGTCTGCCCATTGACGATGGACAAGAACACGAATGTATGGACATAAGTCCGAGCATGTTGTCTTCGAGTTCACCCGCACAAACAGATTGGTTAGGTCGATTAGCCGATCGAGATGATCTTTGTTAATTGGCGATTGAGACGTATTAATTTATTCGTAAATAAAAATAGCAAATTGAATTTTTGTATTTTATTTTTTATATTTAAACACGTACACTACAAGGAGCAAAACTGAAAAATGTATGAACAATTTTGTAGGAAAACAAAGTGAAAAAGCCAAAGCTTAAATGCTCATTTGCAAAAGTGCGATTAGACTATTTTGATATTGTATTTTTGTAAAAACCGTTGGTTAATTTTAATAGATAATTGTTCATAGGAAAATGGTGGAGAAATATTATCTATGCTAAAGAGTGTCATTTTTTTGATTGACTGAATAACAATATTTCTAAGAGTTTTTTAGCAATTTAAAGATTAAGATTTTTTTCAATTTAGTATTTAAAAGTAAAAAAAATTCTCAGCTGTGAACATTTGTTCATTTTAAAATGATTTCTTATAACCTGTTGGATTTCAAGTCACGCCAAACTATATTTTGATAGAAAAAATATTATTTTTCTTATAGAGATGATTGTCTGAAAAAAATAACCAATAATCATTACTGTGAGTATGCATTAAAATTTAAGCTCTAAATTCATAATAAATAAAAAAATAATATTCTAAAATAAAATAAAAAATCCATTATTAAAGAATGCTATAATAGCATTGCTATAATAGCATTGCTATTATTATTAAATAGTTTGGTAAAGGTATTTTTTTTTTTAATGCAAAATCTTAGTTATAGCTGTAACTGAAATGTGTAATTATTGTTTCAGTAATTTGGACATTTTTGATAGTTAATTTTGTATTACGGTGATTCTTATAATACAGCCGTTGGACGAATTTCCGACATCTTTTGAAATATTTTCACTATAAGATTAAAAGAAAATCAATCTTTCCCATGAAGGAAAGTGTTTTGTGATCAGATCCTTTCCCATTCCATCCCGTTTATTCTTTGCAAAGACTTGACAGAAAATATAAATACTAATTTCCAAGGCAATACTAAAATAGAGAACCTGATTTTTAACCTGACTTGTCTATTGACTGATTAAAATATTGTTTTGTGTGTTTAAATTAAATTTCTAGACGTTTTATAT